CAGGGTGCACCACGTGGAGGTAAGTCTATTACACACCCCACTAGCCCGATCAATCTAGTAAGCCTATTCAAAATCTGTTTGACGTAAAAAAATGTGCTCGGAGTATTAGCCGACAACACATGATCCCTCTCAAGAAGATTATTTCATAATAGTCCACAACCTGATAAGTAGGCTTTTGAACAAAAAACACAAATCAAGAAAAATCACCCTTTTTTATTACATAGATATCAGAGGGGAAAACTTCTAACTTATGTCAATTGGAAAAAGTTTACTGCGTGACTAAAAGCACACTGCAACCTTTTCCCCCTATTTCACCTCCACCAAAACCCCCAATTTGAAGACATAGGTTTGCTTATTCTGGGATGAGTTGAAGACTTAAAGGACAAGTCAACAATGACAATAGCCCTTTTGTAAAATCAGACAAAACACAAATTTCTGCTTCTTCAAAGAAAAATCAATATAACACTTGCAGTAGTTTAATATGAAAAAGTTTTATAAACACTATATGAAGTGATGAAGAACAAAGCCGATCGAAGAAAATGAAAGCTACTTCTACTTCATGTGATACATTCAATGAGGATACTTGAAGTATTCAGCTATAGGCGTATGATACAAAATGAACTTAGCAAATAGAAAGATCTGTAAACCCAACACTCCTCGATCATCAACGACTTCACTAAGACACTCAAAATGTCGCTTAGACCTAAGCAGCAAACGCAACCAAACGACAGTATAATTAAAATTAACTCGTAAATACCAATAAATGAAACAAAAAAGATTTATGAACTAAGAGACTGAGATCTCTAGTTTACACTGATATAATGAGAAAAGAATCCTAGCATATGCAAACGAGCCAATAAAAATGTGAATATAATAGAAAATAGAAATACAAAACGTTACCTCCTCAAGGAGAAATATTTAGTCAGATATTTTTTCTACCATTAAAATACGATCTCTGCCATGATAGCAAGTAGTCGTGAAACTGATCTTGAAGTGAGCAATATTAAGAATCACCTGTGAAGACACACAAACCAATTTAACTTGAGTGAAAACCAGAGAAGAAACAGCAAGGGACAAAGCCTTATAAAAACAAGTTAAATGGCAAAATATAGCAGATGAGCCGATGATGACACTGCCCACTTTATTATGTCATCAACTCTTGTAAAGTCAATAGGGAGGCTCTAGTCTACAGTGAGTGACAATATTTTATTTCTGATCGACTTCCCGCGATTTCGCGTTACAAAGTTGCCAAGGAAGTCTTCATCAAGTCTAATCCAGAATTCTCATAAAGTGTGTGCGAGTTTAGCAAAAACTGACAAAAAGATGTAAATCCACTCAGTTCCCCTTTTACCGTAAAACTAGTGGATGGGGTGGAGAGTGAGAGAGAGGGCAAAAATGGAATGATTTCGAAATTCTGCAGTAATTTTTATCAAACTGGATTCCAACAGTGAGAATTGATACTTTTGTCCAGTAGGTAAAAGTCTCCAATTAGATACTCAAGAATGCTGACTTACAATGCGGTATTTGGAACTTAAGTTAAAAAGAAATTATGAAAGTTTGCCGAAGCAGAGAACGGTGAATGTAGACTAGAGGAATGTGAACGTTGGACACTGCGCAACCGGACATATTTTTGACCACAGTATTTACTTACAGTAAATGAATCAAAATTGAAAGCAATTATGTTTTAAGCCTACTAAATTAAGATAAAAAAATAGAAAAAAGCAAAATAGGTCAATGTCGGGAAGGATTTAGTGGCGGAACAAAGCTTAACTCTGCTTCTTTCGAACCTGATTTCATTAAAACAAGGATTAAAAATTGATACACGAATAAAGGGAATTTGAACAGAATTTGGTTTTCTAAGAAATGTGCATGATACAACGATGAGAAGTGATGCTTTAATTCACAGCTTACTCCCAAGAGGACACAATAACCGAAAGTTCGCAAAGTCAAACTAACCAGAGAAAGGGGTGTTTAAGTCGAGCACAATTCAGTCATATAATGTTGCCAATTGGAAAATCACACTGTCGCGGATCAATTGGGGGGCGATTTTTATATATATTGTGTCAGGTGGGGTGTGCAGTAGACTTATCTCCACGTGGTGCACCCTGAGCAACGTATACTCATACGACAAGTCTTTAGACAGGTAGTTGACTTCTGACTTCTAACTACCATGACCTCACTCTATGTCATGGTCGACCACTTCACCAGTACTCACCTTACATTTTCTCTGCCTTTTGTCTGTCTCTGTTACATCTGTGAATCATTTTTTTGTCCCCCTCTCGGAATTTTGTCACTTTGATGTTCCTCCTCCTCTCTGAGACGTTCGAAGACAGCTGAAGGGCTGATGATAACTATCAAAACGCCTGCCATTTGAAATAAATATACTGTGTCAGGTAATATGAGATGACTATGATACAAGGTCAATTTTTGCCATACATAAAAGCATCAAAACAGTAGTGAACTTAAGAGATTGCAACCCACTTTGACAGATGCTCCCGTTGCTAAAAACGCACCATGTGGATAAAACTGGTGACTTCAGAATTTTTAACATACCCATACCAATTTTTTGACCTAATAGAACGAATTACATATGCTAATTTCTCAAAGTCTCTATGGTGTCTTTCATTTGTTAACAGTGAAAGAAAAAATTTAAATTTAATGTCATTATCCTCTATTTACAAATCTTTCTAAATTTGGGATCTTGGGAATATTTTTCGGAGAAATCAAATTTGCAATTTCTATTTCACACACGTCTCAATAAGGGCAAAAGATTACAAAATAAAATTTAAGAACATTTTACTTTTAGAAACACAATCAAGGACAACAGGTGGATGCCAAATTTCTCATTTTCTACAAATTTAAATCACTTTCCGATAGGCGAAAGCTAGGTTAATAGCCGTAAATAGGAAGTAACTCCAACCTAATTGATTTATATCCAAAATGTCTCTCTCTCCCTCTCTTGACTTGAAATAGAAGGCAGCTCAATATGCATCGTGGCAACAGCAAAGATCAATTAACTAATGTAGCAAAAAAGGCCTTCCATTGTCAATTGGATAAATAATTAAATTAATTATCCACATAGCCAACTTATTCACTCAAAGGAAAGAAAAGCTCGTCGTTCATAAGTATACTAAGATCATCAAAAGGCTTTCAACGGCAGATAAAGGAATTGAAGCTACCACCGAAGTGATATAGGGTAGCCCTGTCCCACATTTAAAACAACTGATCAGATATCGTTTGGTGCGCACGAAATCTAGCAGAATATTTTCTAGCAAAGTAAGAAGACGAGAGCAAACAATATGCAAGGAATTATAATATCTAGAAAAGTAATTTTAACTTGAGAAAACTTAAAACTAGGGCTACAACCAAGAAAGTGGTATGTGAAGGGCTATTCAATTATTGCGAGACGAAAACGAAACATAGCAGTCGTCATACGAGAATAAGAAAAAAGCATTAAATCAGCATTGGAGAATTTGAAATAGGTATTCAGTTTTGAAATTAACTAATCAGCCCCAACTGCCCTATTTAACATAATAAGAGAAAAGTAAGAGCGAATAAGAAGGATGCGAAGTAAATAGAAGTGACTTTTCCTTTCCCACTTGAAAGAAAGAACAAATGGGCATTCTTGGGGCAGATTAAATAATGACTTAATAGCCTCATGTGAGGCCAGTCCAGCGCGAATATTCATTATGTATGCATAAACAAGCCCCAAAGCACGAAAAGGGCGAGAGAATGGGACATTTTGGTCAGTCATCTGCCAGACTCTGTGATTAATAGCTCGCACCCCCCCATCGACTCTCTAACATGAGGGAATACACAAGAGGAGGAAGTGGTAGAGGAAGGAGGAGGGGGCTAAGGAGAAAAGATCCATGAATGAAAGGGAGTTGAATAAATCACTAGAAACGTAGACCCAAGGTGGTAAAGGAGTAGTTGAGGTGTTTCTTCTTTCATTCATATATATGTGAAGCACGCTATAAAAGCATTAAAACATCTTTTAGTAAGTTGGTCGGTATATAAATTGATTTCCAAATGTCAGTAAACCGAAATGGTAAACATCGAAAGATATGCACGTCAGTGGCATACCGGTTAAACTGCACCTCTTTTATAGGATAAGAAATCACTGTTTCGACAAACTTTGTTGTTAGACACAATGAAGAGAATGACCAGCTGTGCTAGTTAAAAGTGACATACAAAACCGAAATCATTGTGGGAATGTACTTCCCCTTTCTATATACTAGAAATGCCCCTTTGCCATGATAGACTATACACCAAATCCATATTATTCATAGTAAAAAGGTATAAACCTTCCATTGCATTGCCTAAATAGGGAGGCCTACGAATTACTTTGCAGTTTCAGGAAGATGCAAGACCATTTCACTTTCTGATAATAGGTTCAACTAGATGAACTATTATATGGAAATGTTCAAACCAGTTTACAAATTATTCTAATTAAGCCCACTAGCCGACTGTGTAAGCAAATGATTAGCAAAGAAGCCAATTAAACTGGCAAAGTGGAAGAAGAGGAGAGATTTCGGATTAAGCCTTCGTGAAACAGAAATTCAAAATAACAAAACTTGAGTGCCTAGGCGCAAATAAATAAAGTTTAAATACAGAATAATGAATTGCAAAGTAGTAGAAAGCGATCAAAACCAGAATGCTTTCCCTGCCCCAGACACATCCGACCTGATCTAATCCGTCTGATCTAAAGGCATCCCGTTATAAGAATTAATCCATTATATTTGACCAGATACTTAGCGGTTCCATGGATCTAAATGAAGAGTAGGAAAAAAAGAAAACTCACGCCAACAGACATGGCCTTGAGAACTTTCTTTTGCCCACTTCGCTCGGCACTGACAGCATTGGCCGATGTGGAGGAGACTCCACCCACGCCTCGACCGCAATCCAAGTCCACTTCCTCGTCGCTATCCGCTGAATCCTCATCAGCGTCGTCTGAGAAGATATCCGCGGTCATTAAGCAGCCATCATCGAGGCATCCGTCTAATTCGAATCCGCCTATGTGGAAAAATCGGTAATAATATAGTAATTAAATGGATAAATTAACTATAAGTAGGTATACGTTGAGGTTGTCATTGAATAAACACAGTTTTTAGAGCTCTGCAATCTTAAATCTTAGGTTATCTCATATCTGTTGTGTTGGAACTGCAAACTGTATAACATCATGCAAGATCATTTGCTTTATCAGCAATTAAAAGAAAACTGACATTGAAAATAGTAGATGAAAGATTTACTGCATTCATGGATGAATCATGAAATTCGTATATTGGAACGTGAACTACCCAATTGATAACGATTACTGAACCTTATTTTTTATTGTATGGGGAGCGCAATAGACTTACCTCCACGTGGTGCACTCTGGGCAACGTATACTCATACGGCAAAAAGTCTATTAATCGACAGTTGACTTCTGACTTCAAATTACCATGACCCCACCGTATGTCATATTCGACTACTTCCATAGTACTCACCTCACCTTTTTCTCTACCATTGTGCCTGTCTGTCGCTTGTACCTCTGTGAATCACTCTTCCGTTACATCTCTCGACTTTTGTGACTTTGATGTTCCTCCTCCTCTCT